GAATGTATCTCCTACTGTGGATCCTGTGCAAGGGTGGGGTTTTGATGCCTAGAGCTGACTGGCACTGAGAGACTTGGTTAGTGGTGACACATTAATGGTTGGATATGATGCTCCTAGTGCTCTTTTCCAACCTTAATGGATCTATGATTTCTCCTCAGCAGTCCTGAACAATTTTGTATTACAGTCCAGCACAGAACTCTCTGGGAAGCAGCTCTGATGGTTTCCCCCCTTTTTAGAAAGCTTCTTTAAATAAGCTTCTGTTTTTTTAGCATTCCAGATGCATGGGAAAATGGATGTGGGAAGAGGCGAGGAAGGAGTGGTTGGTGGAGGAGAAGCAATATTTCAAACCAACTGAGAACTTCAGTGAGAAGCCTCATCTCAGTAATTCAGTGGCAACGTAACAGGGGTGTGACTTGCACATCTGGGGAAGATCACAGTCTAAGGTCTATATCAGAGAGCTCAGCACAGCCACAGTACTTGCCATAGTTAGCATCTGAATGCTTGCCAGGAACCGAGGTTATTTGCACTGACATTACCCCCGGGTAGAAATACTGTGCTACCATCCTTGTTTTACAGTCCCCATGTGGCAACTGAGACACAAATGACTATTTGATGAAATTAGAGAGTGGGAAATTAAAAAAGGGTAAGAGGAAATTTGTTCTTATGGCAGGTTAATTAAACCACGGAGTCTACAGCCAGAGGCAGGCATTGCGGCAAAGCAATGCTGAAAAATTATTTAGAGTTCTCCTAATTGCAAACATTAAAAGGGATGTAACACATTGGACTTTGAAGGTTAAATTCATATCTAATTAATGATGATCATGAAGAGACATAATAGAGAGAAGACATGATTGTAAGTCTTGCTGGGGAGCCTTCCTTTGAGATGCTCAGCGTGGTAAGCTGGAGGTGGATGAGCACTGGCCAAGTAGGCACCTGTGGCCCTTCCTTGATTTCTGCTGCCTGTTGACACGAGCAGGAAAACCATCTCCGGGCAAAAAGCAGAATGCAGGTCTCCTAACCTGGGTCATCCTGTATCCATTTGGTCAGCCCTGGGCAAAACTACGGAATACTCTTTCCTGGGCCATCTGCTTTTTTATTTGGATGCTCTTCAGAAGCTTGTGTCCCCACTTGAGTTCCCAAGCACCTTTTTTCACCAGGCGGCGATGGTTGCATACAATGATCCTGGTGGTCTTCTCCAACTTTAATGATTCTATGACTTTATTCCACCACCTCTTTTTATCAGGCGAAGGCTGGACTTACATTTGTCCAGATACTCCGCAGTTCTGCCCAGGTGAGCAGCAGAATTTGATTTCTGTCCTTTGAGCATCCATTACATGGCAAATTCCACTAATTCATAAGTGCAACTAATGAGCAGTGGAAGTGGAAGATACCCCATAATTCACCACACTTGGCCCTTGGTGAGGAGGTGACTCTTGTTATGCTGGCAGCCACATCCTCATTGCCTCCCTTATAGGCTCTGCCTCATTCCCAGTTGCCTTCAGACACAAACCTTTCTGGGCATCTGATGTATTCACAAATCTACCAAAACAAATTAAGCCACTTAATTCAGATGTTTCACATTTTTTCAGGGATCTGGTTAAGATCCCATTTACACAGTGTGTAATTGGTAATGATCAGACAGAGAGGGAGGGCTGGAAGCAGACCCCAAGAGCCCTGACCTCTGCTTTCCTAATCTCAAAACATTGTCTGCACTGAGCGCAAACCCTCCAGTGCTGCTCTAATGAGTGCAAACCAACTATTATCAGGTTGCATTCATCTGCTCTGTGCTTGTAGACAAACTGCACAAAGCACACCAGAGAGTTAAAGTGTGCCGTGCAGCAATGACATAAATTAGAGAAAGAAACAAGAGTAACGACTCATTGATAAATACATTAGCCAAAAGCAACACATTTCACAGCAATATGTCGATTCTAAGTAAATCTGCAGCTCTCCCTCCAGCTACGAGGTGAACTTTACAGTGGATTAGCAACCCTGGAAACTGAAGTCACCTTATGCCAAGAAAAATGGCATGAGGGCAGTCAAGGGCAAGTTTTGCCACCCATGTCTTATTCCACGGCATGCTGACCTCCTGTTGGGTGAGAGGGAAGCATATCATCTCTGTGCTGAGGATGCATGCAGCCAGAGCTGGCCATTCTGGTTGGTGCTGCAAAGGGAACACATCCTCTCTGCAAATGGGCTGAGACCAGGCACTTCTTCCATAAGGCTTTGCACATGTTAAGGCTGACAGGAGCTACTTACAGATAAAACCAACTTTAAGTGACCTGTGGTGAGATCATGTGGCCCTGACTTCCTGCAACACTGCTGACCATGGTTTGGCACTGTAGGGGTGATGCAGAGGACAAGCAGCTCTTGCCTGCCCAGATGCACTGGAAGCAGCAGCTGCTGCAGGGATACCATTACAGCATTTATCAAAGTGGATGGCTCCACATTTGCACACTGGTGCTTGTTTACAGGTAGTTTGCCTTGTCCTGCTTTTGCTCTGTCTGAATAAGAGAGTTATCCCTGCATGCCCGAGAGATGAGATGAGGCTCAGTTTTGGCAGAGGCCCCAGTGCTATTCTCAGCCTCCTCAGGTCATAGCCAAGCTGCTGCATCAATGCAATCCTGTGGTCTACAGTTACATTTCAGAAACTGCTTTTGGAAAGCACAGCCCTTCTTTACAGCACCTCTTTAAAGAATGAGCCAATTGCAGGGATCACTCCTGACTAAGGTGATAATCCTCCTTTTTCATTAAGGGACCAAGAAATCGAAGACCACCAGGAGAGATTCTGGGGTCCTGTGGTAATTTTCTTTCAGGGTTGCATCCATAGCCATATGGATATATATAAGCTAATTTGTTGTCATGCGTAGATTTATCTTAGTGACTGCTCATTAAGTGAGACCCATTATCATTACTGCTGATGGGAGGAAATGCTCAGACTCCACATTGAACAGAAAGTCTGTAGGAGAGCATGGGATATGATAGTTTTCATTATCTCTAACATCAAGAATTCAGCGACCAAAGTCAGCAGGGATGTAGCAAGCAACTTGCATTTCCTAGCCAAGGGAAAGCATATGGAAATCACTTATCTAAGGCATGAAATGCTCATGGTTCTTCCAAAGAAAAATGCTGCTTAATTTAATCATCCTGCAACTAGTCTTAATTAGTTACCCTGCGTCATAATTCTATTCACATCCTCAGGAACCAAAATAGACCAAAAGATGACAGTGTATGCTTCTTGGGACAAAGTAAAAAAATACATATAGCAGCACTTTGGTTTATAACAGCTCTCATATAGTGCATCTTTCACACTGCTGCTCCATCTTGGCTACTTGACACGTTGGAGCTCACAGCACCCTGGCCAGGAGGACGTTGGTGCAAAGCAGCCCCAGCAGATACTCCACAACCCTTGTGAGCACGCAGCTGCTCAGAGGGAGTGCGGATATGGCTGTGCTGGTCTGCAATGCTTGGTGTGTGGGGGCAGAGACTGCAAGGGCAGGTGTCAGTGATGGCCTGGGGGGAAAACAAAGTCATTTTTATTTACTAGCAGTTATCCCAGCCACATGGAAGAGCAACGAGGCAGGTGAAGGGACTAGAAAATAAGCGTTATGAGGAGTGACTGAGATAATTGGGTTGTTTTTTTTTTAGTCTGGAGAAGAGGATGCTGAGGGGGGACCTCGTTGATCTCTACAACTGCCTGCTGCCTCTGCAGAGAAGTCAAGGTGGTACAAGCAACTGAAAGCGTGAGCTTCAGCAAGAGAAGAGCCTTGCTACAGTTCTACAGATATTTAAGAATACAGCTCCCAAGAGACATCTTGCTTTCAGTTCTTTAAGTCTCTTGTTTCACAGATGTCACTCTCATGACTCCGCATTTCTGTCAGTGCCATCAGGTGACCAACATAATGAGCCAAATTCAGAGCTGACCTTGAAGCCATAAAGCTTTGACAGGATTATAGCCCATTACTCTATCTTTCGTTTTCACACATTATAGCAACCAGTTTTATGGGAATCTGTACTAACGGAATCCGTTCTTAATAGCACACATGAAATCCAACCAGAAAAACAAATGACCACCTCAGATATGACTATCACAAAACGTTGGAGTGCCCAGGGAAGTTGTGAGATCTATATCCTTGGAGATATTCAAAACTAGCTGTACAAGGCCCTGAGCAAACTGTTGCTGGACTCAATTTGAGTAGAGGTCTGCAGTGGTCCCTTTTCATCTGCACCAATCTCTGACACTTTTATGAAGCCCATTAGATTCATAAGCCCATTAACAGGAAAGAAAAAAAAAAAAAGAATCATTTCCACACTTGCTTGAAGGAGTGGTAATTCTCATGTTCCTGGTGAAGAACAAATGGAGCAATATGGCATTTTAATATGCTAGCTAAGGAGAAATAATCATAAACTACTTACATGGGCATAAAGCAAAGGGGACAAATCCTGCTGGTAGCGAGCACATGTACTGACCTTCACAGGAACCGAGCCTGTTCATCATTTTGTGAGTTCACATTGTAAGAAAAGGAATGAGTGTGAGATCAATTTATGTGGAACTATGTTGAAAAATCCCTTTCAATTTGAGTGAATACAAGCATGTATGTCTGTGTTTCCAAGCACAGAATACAGTGTGGTGGAGGCTGATAAAGATCTGTGAAAGGTTCCTCACCCCATCCTTTTTTTTTTTTTTTTTTCCTCCAAGCTGAAAACAGACAGCATGCCCAGAAAGGTTATGCAGTGCCTGCTCTGAAGGGAGGCCAAAATTGCAACCATTTCCCTTCCCCTTCCCCCTGGCCTCAGCAGTTCTGTACAACTTTCTGACTCCCAGCAACTTTCTCTGCAAAACCTGTTCTCTCGTTGAGTTGTCTCCTCTACAGAGGAAAGACACAAATACCAGCTTGTCTCTTTTCAATCAAGGAACATGCAGTGCCAGAGGATGAAGCATCAGATTCTTTACTTTTGATTGAGGCTAATTAGTGTTTTCTCTAAAGAACATTAGAAAAAAATACTCACTGGGTAGTGAGATTACTGGAACTCACAGCCAGAGCACTGCTGCATGAAGCAATGGGGCTGCATGGTACAACTCCAGAGGTTCTCATTGAGGGGTGAGGAGGGAAGCCCAATGAAGGCAATTTCTTCCATTTGTTTTGCAAGCAGCTCTGCTTTTAGGAATCTACCAAAAAAAAAAAAAAAATACAAAGCCATAATGAATGGGTGCAGTGGTCAATGCTTTATCTGTCCGCACTTAACAAGCATAATCAGAGCATCACTACTGGCAATGAGACAAGAGGTTCTACTTCTCCAGATGGTCAGACTTCTCCAGGAAAACTCAGTTCCAGCCCAGCATCTGAGATGCAACGTAGCATTTTCCACACATCTTTTAGACAAACATGAGTACAAGGGTCCAGTGCCTTCTCAAGCTGTGCATTAGTTGGCAGGCAGCTCAGCACCACACACCAGTTCACTCCCTCTCTGGGCAAAAAGATGGGAGAAAGAATCAGAAAAAAAAGAAAAGAAACTCAGGTGTTGAGATAACAATCAGTTAATAAGAAATAAAAGGAAACAAAAACCACAAAAACAAGTGATACACAGTGCCATTGCTCACCAGCCAACTGATGCCCAGCCAGTCCCTGAGCAAAGCTAGCTACCCCCTAACAACCGTCTCAGTATCATTGCTGAGCGTGGTGTCATATGGTACGGGACATCCTTTTGGACAGTCTGGGTCAGCTATCCTGGTGCTGTTCCCATCTCCTCACTGGCTGGGCAGATCCTTGCCCAAGTCTTTGACTCTGTGCAAGCACTGCTCAGCAACAGCTAATCATCGCTGCACTATCTCCATTATTCTCATAGTAAGTCTAAAATACAGCACTACATCAGCTACAGTGATGAAAGTTAACTACCCTAGCTGAAGCCAAGACCCTCTCAGTTCTACTTTTATGACTGGTGACTAGTTTTACACTTGGCCAAGACAAGCTTCACATTTCATTTTAGTTCAGCTATGGGGGAATGTGCCCATAAGTCCAGGCAGAAAGACTGTGGCCTTGATATAACACTCCTCACATATTGCAAGAGATTTCTTTTGTAGGATGAAGTGAAATCTCAGTGCTTAATGGTAAGGATCACATGGATCTGTGCTGAACAGATGGAAGAGATATTGCATAAGGCCTAGTTCATGCATTCTTTGATTACTGCCTGTTAGCCTTTATCTCAGACTCTTGGAAACACCAGCTTTCTATCAAAAGGAAATGTCACCACTTTAGCTAATAGACTTTTTTTCTTCCCCTTGCAAGAGACGCTAATTGACTTTTTTTCCAGTTGAATGCAGCTTTGAAAATGAATATTTAATGTCAGGCATTAAAGTTCCTACATTGGCTTGCAGAGGAAATCTTGACTCACACAGATGCTTGTCAAGAGACAGAAAAGGCAGACCATGCTTCCCTCCCCTCCAAGACACAAAAAAAGATTTGTCTTGGTGCAGCTCTGCAAGTATAGGTGATTTTATGCCTGAAGAGAGATTTTCCCATTCAGCCCTTCCTGCAAGGCTCTGGGCTATGGGGCAGCCACATCCAGCAGCCATTGCCTCCAACAGCCTCACACCTCATTCAGAGAAGTGCTGCAGCTGGCAGGCTTGAGGCTTGCTCCTGTGCAGAAATCAAGGAGAGGTGCCAATTGCCAGCAATTAATATTTTGCACTTTTTTCCCAGCTGCATAATTCCCCAGCTTTGCAGATCAAGCAGGAGACATACTCAAATTGCTTTGCATACTAAATGCTGGGAAGCAAATGGAGGACTTATAACAAATCTGTTGAACAATTTGTTTAATTTTGAGCGTCTGCTCAAGCCCCGACTGCAGGCTTAAAGTGAAAGCATGTGCCTCGTGCAGTAGCAACTCAAATATGAGCAGAATCAGGGCCATTTTGAGGCAGTGATCATACTACACTGCCACTTATATCAGAGCTTCCTGCCACTCCATGGTAGCCTAATAGCTAGTGTCAGACTTCCTTGAGGGAGAAGTGTTAGTTCTGTGAAGTGCCATGGATAACACAGCCCCTCCTGAAACCAGCAAGTCAGTCTGTACTGCAAAGTGTGGAGGTTTCCATCTGCCTTGAAGACAGAGAGCATTGCTTTTGTCCAGAGGATTAGCTGACCCTTCCTGCTAATCGATTAAACCATTTGCTGTCCATGCAAATCACACCAAGAACATTTGAATGCAGCTAATCGCTAAAAATACTCCAACTCTCATCTGACAGTTCAGGAAGAGATGACAGTTCTTCCAAGTCATGTTAAAAATATTGCTTTAGTATGGCTTCAGTGGGAGCTGCATCCTGTGAACACTAAGAGCAGAGTGGGACTGCCTCATCCCTGGGTGGGATTCCTCTAACACATGATATGCCTTGTGGTTCCCACAGCTCAGCAGAAGAGAAGCTACAAGCTCTGAAAACGTGTCTTCGTACATTAGAGGGTAGACTGATAGAAGTTATCCCTGAAGGTGTTCAAGACCATGTTGGATGAGGCTCTGAGCAATCTGATCTAGTGCCTGGTTCAGTGGTTGGCAATCCTGTCCACAAAAGATCATTACAATTGAATGATCTTTGTGGTTCCTTGCAACCCCAGCCATTTTATGATTCTACAGTATGTTTCTAAACAGATTCAGATTTTTTTTTTCCTCTATTCCTAGTCTAGAAGTCAAAAGATGACTACATTTTTTTTGGTATAAGCATCTGAAATGTAATTATCACCTAATGTTAGGAGGAAGCTCCTGAGAACAGCTGGAATCTGCTACTCTGGATATAGGAACTCATGCAAAAGGTGTCAGTGCTGTGCCTTAAAAATCCAAATTCACAGTGCATCTTTGCTTCACTGTTGAGTCTTGCTCCTGAATTTACTCTTAAATCATACATTATATGTTAGCCTAGATGTACTTTGAATTTGTATTTACAAATTTGTATCTGTAAAGTATGACTAGCTCACAGAATATTAAGGACAGTACAACTTGAACAGGACTGGAGGTGAAAGAAATCCAAGTGTGCCCACACAGGATATTCAGTGGTGTTGCACTAAACTGAACAGCAGGCAAGAATTAATTCTCCCTTCCAGCCCCGACCTGTTGTACAGTGACTGCATACTTCCTTTCTTCGTCCTCACCACCCCTTGCATGCTCCCACTCAGTACACCCACCCTGTCAGATCCCAGCCCTGGGGCACTGTTGTGGTTTAATAGTCCCACTGCTGCTACATAAATATAAGGCTTTTGCTGGATGTATTTGGGCTGATCAGCCCCTCAGCTGCCTTGAGGCAACATCAGAGGAACATCTACAGTGTTTGCAGGCTGCCTCTGTCTGTACTCCTAGAAATGCTGCCCCGGGTCAGGGCTTTTAGCTTCCTTGCTTAACAGCATATTATGCCCTTGCACAGGATTTTTCTTTGTTAATTGGAAACAGTTTGATCATTAGATAAGATTCCATTAATAAATTAATATGGTCTGTCAATGAATCTTCAACTCAGTAGGTAAGGCAAAAAAAAAACAAAAAAAAAAAAACAAAAAAACAAACCCAGTAGGATCTCTCAGTGCAAAGAGGCCACAAGCCCACCATGCAGCAGCCACAGAGGTCAAGACAGCCCAGCTTAGCCTCCTGCTCCAAGTTCTAATGGAGTTTCCTGCTGGTGACAGATCAATGGCATATGTGCCACATAAGATGACAATATTATATAAGTACAAAGTGGTAGGATTATGGGCGTGGGGGAGAAAGATCTCCTGGGGAGAGGGGACATTTTGCATCAATCACTCCCTCCCCCAGAGCCACCCACCAACTGCGGGGATTTTTCTGAGCACTCAAGATGATACGGTTTGGTACATTTCAATCAGTTTCTTATCCCATCAAAGTATGGTGGAAACAGTGCTAAAGGAAAAGCAGATACAGAACAAGTAGGGGCTGTGTAGCCAGCAACAGAGCAGCAGTTATGACAGCATATGCACTGCAGCTACCATGCAAGAGACTGCAGCTGCCACCTTGTGCCTCATTTCACCCCACTGAACAGGCACTGCATCAAGTACTAGGTCTGCAATTAAAAAAGTGGCTGAAATCTGAATGCTAAATAAAGTAGAGGAGACCAGGAAAAGGCTATGGCAATGGGAGATGCACATTTCACCAGCAGATGTGAGGATAACTAGATTATGCTTAAGAAGGAAGAAAGTTAATTAGAAGTGGGCTAGAGCAGGGACCTTGGATCTTCTGACATTATGCTGGCCATGCCCAAGGCATGCATATCTCTGCTTATGTTGGGGCTGTGCACAAAAGCCTCATCCCTCAAGGGAGAACATGGATAGCACTAAAGAAGGCAAACGCAGAAATGAGAGCGGGAAGTCTGTGGTCTGTGCTTATGCTGTAATAATCCCTTCTGGGCTATAAATCTATCATCTCTAAATTTAACAAACCATCTGAATCTGACAGCCATAAAATACATCATCTACTTTAGATATTTATCCACAAGAAGTGTATTTGATTTATTTTGGCCACCAGATAACCATAGAAACACAAAAAATATCCTGCTGGGCATGCAGACCCTCCACCTGTTTCAGCACACCTGTGCCAAGCAAGTTTCTGCAGCCCACTCCCTGCTTAGTCCCTCAGAATATACAATTGTTGGGTTAGGTAATAAACCTGCAGAAGCTCACTCTTACTGCACACAGATACACCTTGTATATCTAAGAAATCCATTCCCTACAAGCTTCATTCAGCATCGCTTAGCTCTAGCACAAAGGGATTTAGGGAGTAACAGCTGTGCATTCATAGGGATGCACTGTGGCAAGGACCACGGGGAAAGTGTGCTTTGGAGAAGCTTAGGGAAAGGCTCTCTGTGAAAATTCCTCCCATATAACTTCGACGTTCAACTGAAGTATTTACAGTGAAGACTAATGTCACTAGGCTCCTTGTTTTGTCAGTGCAGAGGCTCAGCTTACCCTTGAGAGCAGTAATTACACCCTTTAATACTGCTCATACCTGAGCTGTCAGGGTGTGCTTGGTTCATGCCCACCTTCTGTGCACAGGGGGCAAGTGGGAAAGGAGAGCTCTCTCACTATTGATTTTTCTGCTGGTCTTACACCCAGATGGCTGAGAAGGAAGCTATGGAGGGCTCAGATCTCAGCTACACTGATGAATCCTGTTGGTTTATTCCTGCTTCATTGTTACTGTGAGTCAATTAAGGCTGAAAGTTACACTCACATGAACTAATCTTGGGTACTAGTTAACTATTCAGAAGTACTAATGAATAAGTTTTTCTACTTTCTGAATTGTATTTCCACCTCTCCCTTTCCCCCACAAAGGAAGTGTTTGTTCCTGGAAAAAAATCACTGTCATACCTGTTTTGTGCAGCAATAGCACCTGCAGCTGTAAGGAAGCAAGCACAACATTAGGGGATGCCCTTTCACAGGCCGCATGGGAAAAAGAAAGCATGGGACGAAGATGAATTTAGTATAATTCCTCCAGTGAGGCTGACCAGGACACCCTAGTGTCTCCTGACACAGCTGCTGCAGAACCAGTAAGCACTAACCCACTCCTGCCTGCTCCTCTCCCCTCTTTCAGTCACCACACTACAGAGGTCAGCACGCCTTTCAGCTGCCCAGTGCTTTTGTGCTCACCTCCCCTGCTGATGGTGTTGAGAGTCTGTTCAGAAAATCTGCTGGCCTAAACGTTGCCTTCCTTGCCTCTGAATAACTCCAGAAAGCCTTGTGAGAAGCCTGCAGCTGTTGGAATAAAGATCTTTTAGAAGATACAGCATTTCGAGGAACTGCTTGCTTATAGCAAGTGGAAGAGCAATTTGCAGAAGCCTACTCGGCACACCCTTCCTTGATTGGTTTAAATTGCACAGAAAGGCAGTTTGATAATGTAGTCAATATCAAGCCTGAAAGATCTTCCACCTCTGTACAGCTGCCAGCAAACAGGTAAAGACAGAGCATGTTGGAAGCAAAACATTGGAAGAAACAACCTGGCAAACTTCATTGCAAGTTGCAAGCCCTTTTGTGTTTGGGCCGGTGGAAAAAAATGACCAAAAAAGTGAGTAGCTTGGAAAAGGATGCTTAAGAATCAAACAAAACCAGAGTGATCAGGAGCAGCCTAAAAAGAAATTCTGCACCTTAAATGAAATTCTGATTGGAAGTGGCTGAAAGTTGATGCAGAACCTAATGTGCGATGGCTCTTAGATGGTCATGGCCCATCAGCACAGCTCTGATAATCAATCATTTCTTGACAGGAGGCCAAGGATATGCCATGGATTGCCACCTCTTCTGTTCCAAACAGTCCACTGGATCAGGAGTGAGCCCTGGAGTACTTTCAATTGCATTGCTGCCATCTGTGCTTGTTTCCAGCAGAAGGTATGACTTTCCTGCCTTGTCTGCGCTTGGCTTTTTTCTTTGCTGTGCCAGGCTACAAACCTACAGGGCTACAGAGTTGTTAATACAACACTGTTTTGCTCCTTGCAAAACCTATCACTACAGAAAGCAGCTGTTAGATGCTCTACTGGTAGGATGGTTCTAGTTTAACCCAGCGGCAGCTCAGCACCACACTTTCCCCCTCATAAGTAGAATGAGGGAGAGAATTGGGTGGAAAAATAAGGTAGAATTTGAGAGCTGAGATAAAAGCTATTTTTTAAAATACAGAAAAAGAAGAGGGAAAAAGAAAAATAACATCAAAGATATATATGTATATATATGTACACATACGTATACATACACACACATACACATATATATATATATATATATTCCCTCCCCCCCACGCACTTCCACAATACAAAGTCTCATCACCTGCCACCACTGCTGACTGAGCAGAGAACCACTCCCAACAACAGCTCACCACCCACCCACTAACACCCAGCCAGCCCCTAAGTACTAGCTGGCCCTAAACAACTCCTCAGTTTTCTGGTCTTTCACCAGAAAGGCCATAGCTCTTCCTCACTAAGTCACCTAGTCCTACTGTGCTCCCATCACTCAGCAACAACCAAACCATCAGCATACTATTAACACACTTTTTCTAGCAAGGCCAAAATACACCATCACATCAGACACCAAGAGGAAAAATGAGCTCAGTTTCAACTGAAACCAGGGCAAAATTACATCAAGCTACATCCTCTGCAAAAGAGGGAGAAGTTTCTTCTGTGAACACCCTAGATTTTTACTTGAAGTCCTCCTGGCAGGCTCCAACAGGGACAAATACTTAAGGGAAGGAAACAGTAAACAGTATCTCTCCAACTCACTGTCCTAAGGGCAAGTTCTTGTAATATAAGGTGCTGTTCTGAGGTAGACAGTAGGAAAAGATGAAACAACACATCAGGAAGCTCTCTACCTTGTAGGTCTGCCTCTCAGCAAAGCTTTGCCAAGGTTTCCCTTTGCTAGCTAACAAGGATAGTAAAAGCACCATAAAGCTCTAAACTTCACTAGAGCGGGAATGAAAAGGGCTGGACCCGTGAGTCCTTTTTTCTCCCTGGTCAGCAGGAATAAGCATAGATAGCAGCAGACATAGTTGCTTTCAACCCAAGAAAGCAGTAGCCTCAATCCAGTGACAGAAAAGGAATCACTTACCCCCTTTCCAAGGATCAGAGCATACTGAAAAAGGAGGGGATCTCCAAATAGAGATGTATGCCTTGTGGCTGCCAGCCCTTAAATGAGGTTATGTTTTTCTGGTGGCACAAGTGAATTGCTCACACCTGTGCTCCCAGGGCTGCCCCATCACCAGGTGCTCAATCACTGGTTCAGGCTGTGACCTAACAGTTTCTCTAAAGTAGATCAGCAGAAAGCAACAAATCTTCCTTTCCCATAGGGTGCTCCTGCACCCTACCTGGCCTTTTTTTCTTAGGAGTGCTGCTGCTGTGTTTCATTACCCTAGGTTAATGTGAGAAAGAGTCTCACGCAAACAGGACCAATGGAACCCCATCCCTAGAGGCATCCAAGGTCAGGCTGGACAGGGCTCTGAGCACCTGACTGACCTGTGCTTGTCCTTGTTCACTGCAGGGGAATTGGACTAGGTGACCTTTAAAGGTCCCTTCCAGCTTAAGCTTCTCTTTTTCAGCAGCTATGAACTGCTATGCTGGCTCATCCCATCTGTGAAAACACAGCCTGGAAATGTTTCACAGGTGAGAAGGGAACATACCACATTGAATAAGAACACCTCTTTTCAAACATATGTGAAATTCTGGTTGTTTAAATTCAGAAAGGCTGAACCCAAATTGGAATAGATACAAAATGGTAAAGACACACAAGCTGATGTTAAAAGAGGAGAATGAAAGAGGTTGACTTGTTTAGCTTGATGAAATGAAGACCGAAGGAGACATTAGTGTTCCCAGTACTACTTACCTGTATTACATTATAAAAACAAGATAACAATTTGTAGAAATAATACTTGACATTTCTGTCATGAAAAACTTTCATTTGAAAATGGAAAGATTAGTGAATAACAGGGGTGAAAGATTTTAGAATTCTGACCTATATGACAACAATTATTTTAGCTTTCTAGAAATGAAACTGGCCCTATGTCCCTGCTTGAGCAGGGTGGTTGGACCCGGTGACCTTCAGAATTGCCTTCCAACATTCACCAGTCTGTGCTCTGATACATTACAAATAAATTAAAATAAAGAATTGCCAGAGCCAGAGCAGCCATAGGGATGGTGGCTCCGTGGCTCCTGCCTTTGCCTCTTTGCTCCCATTCACCTCTATGGAGAGATCTTCTCTCCTTGGCAGTGACATCATGTTTAACCTGAGCTCCAGGGGATGAGGTGAGCAAGAGAGAAAAATCATGGCCAGAACCATCAGTATAGAGCTTGAGACTCAAAAATGATGTGACTGGAAGAGATTGAGAGCTGTTTCGCTAAGGGCTTCTGGACATAAGGATTTGATATGTCATTTAAAAAATGTTGTAATCAAGGTTGGCACACTCAAATCTACAATAACGGAAAAGAAAAGCCCTTTCCAAGGGTTCGGTTTCTCTCCACCCTCATGTTCCCCAGGAGAATCAATGTTTGTGGTTTGTCCTGGCTTCTCATGACAGCTTTCTTGGCAGTGAGCTTGGAAAGAATTCCTGGCTCTGCTCGTGTGGAGATGGCCTCTGCACAGAGCAAAAAGATACCTCCTCTATCTGATGGATCTCCCAGAGACAGCAGTAACAGCACTCTGCTTGTGCTTAAAGCTGCTGTCTCAACACTGCTTGGCTTTCCCAGGCAGAAGGCAGCCAAGCAGCTCTGCTCCCTGTACCCTCTGCACATGAGTGAGCACAGAGAACAGTTTGGTGCAGTGAGTCCCTAAGGATGGACAGCGCAGCGGGAGAGAGTGGAAAGTGATCAACTTCTAATTGGTTTCCACTCTTGAGCAAGAGAGAATGGGAAATGCCAGTCTGCCCCACATGGTTAATTCTGCAACCCAATTAGCAAGTGCTTCCAATTAAATGGAACCAAGTTTTCTTTAATTAACATTAATTTCCATTAGGATGACACCACAGAGAGCGCATTCCAGATCTCTTGTCTCTGTGCAGAGGACTGGGCACCACATTTGTGCTGTTCTGTGGGACTAAAGAGCCCTTGCACTTTGCATAGGGCTCACACACCCCCCCTTGAGAAGGCTGGCACAAGGGTTAAGGGCTGCACCAATCATTTCTGCATTGAACTTTAGGTGCCCAGCTGTTCCAAGTCTTTCTGACAACTTGGCAGCACCCTCTAAAACCTTTCCAAGCTGCCAGGTCCTTCTCTTGGATCCGGTTCGGTGCTTTGAGTGCCCTTGCACACTGTCTGTGCAGATGTGGAGGAATACAGCTGTGTCAGGTGAAATTTAGCAGACTAAAACAGCATTTGGACACTCAATGGAAATATTTCCTTTTGAATTATCGTGAAGCAAGAGCAAGAAGAAATATCACAAGATGAAAGAAGAGTGAAGATGAAATCTCCAACTTGAAAAAATCTTCCACGAAGTGGCTTGAATATTTCCAAGGCAAATGCAAACCTCTGGGTCACCTTACAGCCCAGAGGATGAAGCAGAAAGGATTGCGCTGCAAGTATAAATTCCCCTAACTGAAATGCACGGAAAACTGCCGCATCTTCATTTGCAGGGGTCTGTTGTTTGCCTGCTTGTAAGGAGGTAATTGCTCTCACTCTGATTTTCCTAACATGCCCGCTGGAGGTTTAGGTGCCTCATCATCCAGAAGGCTGCGGAGGCAGAAGTGGCACTCATCTTTGCTTTAGGGTTCTGTCAGTATTATGGCTCACGAGGATGAGTACCTTCAGGGCAGTAAATTAACTTGAGACCTCTCTGGCCTTCTGTTTAGCTGAAGCATGCTCAGTAAACTAGTACCTGAGTGGAAAGGAATTGAATTCAATACAGAAAGAAATGAGTATGAGTAAGAGTGAGAAAGCCTTTGTATTTTTTGTGAAATAATGAAAATCCTGGTGTAATAAATAAGTATAATCAAATTTTCCTCCAGCGTTCTGTTGCTATGATTGCTTTTCTGTCAATAAACACTACAGACTATGTTCCAGAGTAACACAGAGAAAAATGAAGGTATTTTGAATGCTTTGTGTAAATAGGGGATATGAGAGGACGGGAAGCTATGTCTATATCAGGCAATTATTTGTCACCGATTACCATAGTCTCAAATTCCCTGACCCTTTCACCGTAGCTGCAAGGACAGGCAATGCTGCAATCCCCATTCCATGGGGGAGAAGCACAGCAGGGAGACGGGGGTTTGCAGTGCAG